CACATCAAACACACACAAATAAAAAAGCCAAGCAGCCATGGGAGGAGGAAGGTATTGGCGTGGTCAATTATGGTGCGCAGGGTCAGATGGAAGGAACAATAGCAGCCAACAAAGTGGACCAAAGAATGAAAAAAAGAAAAAAAAGACATGCATGTTAGAAGCAAATTTTCAAGAGCAGCCAGAGCCAGAGAGCAGTTCAGTAGAAAATGCTTAGCCTTTAAGCACAGTTGTTATAGCATCACAGAGAAAATGGGTTATATCAGCAAACCTCACTCCCTTCCTTGGTCCTTCTTGGACCCCCTTAAGCCACTGATCTGGACTGAACATACACATAAGGAGTTCTGACTTTTCGCTGACATTCCCGGCTGGCTACCACATATTCCAGGCAACTAGCATTCTCAAAAAGAGGTCAGCAATGGCCTTCTGATGGGCTTCTGGTGAGTTCTCCTGTGTATGGATGTCTACAGTTTTTATATACATTGTACACATCTTACCATATGAGGAATTAATATTAAGTGTCTACTTAAATAAGTGTCACCATTAAGTGTTTGGAGGAGCACTGCGATATGTTAAAAGAGTATTGTTTGGGTTTACTTTAATGTCTAACTTTGCAACTTTAAGGGCATGTTAGATGCATGGTCTAACTATTGAAACCTTTGCTGTTCCAAATAAATAATTAACAATTGCTTTGACAGCAATGTAATATATGCAATATCCAATTAGGAATATGCTCCACCATTCCTAGGTCCCCTTCTGCTGCTGATTCTCATAGTATCTGCATTTGGTTTCTGAGTCACAGATCTGAAACAAGCATGCAGCAAGTAAAGCCAGAACTCCTTTTCAGAATACTTGCTGTGGGACAGTGACTCATAAAGCATTACAGAATGACAGTATAGGCATCCAGGATTTCTGTAGATAAGCAGTGGAAGCAGGGCCATCCCTGTAATGAGGTAGGGATGACGCTCTGTCTGGCTTCCTGCCCAGCTCATTGACATCATCAGTTGCCAGGGAGCTGAGCAGGACACTCTGGCTGGCGTCCCACCAAGCTCCTTTCAACCAGTGGCGTCAGTGAGCTGGGCAGGACTGGACAGGGAGCAGCTGACAACATGGCTCTCTGTCCAGTGTAACACAGCCTCCCATTCCAACGCAAAGCACCACCCATACCTGCAGCCAAGCCCCCAGCACAATCAGCAGCACCCGCTACCCAACCCCCGCCACCGCTCTACTGGTTCACATAGCATATAGGGTAGGGACGGCCCTGAGTAGGGGGATATATCTAAAATATATATTCATGGCTTCTATAATCTAGATCAATAATAGACACAGCTTTAGGCCAGTTCTGAAGGTCACATTTAGATAATAAATGAGCAAGGTTTGCTGAGTGTATGCATTGATACATAAATAATGTTACAATGTAGCATGTAGCTTAATTAAAAACACAATATAGGAAAGCAAAAGCATGGATAATGGTATTACCCAGAGTATTAGACTAAGCTGGCATTGTTGGATCATGTGAATGCTAGGTCCAATACATAGCACAAAGATTAAGGATATCAGAGGTCACAGAGAGGATCCACAACCAATTAATAACCTCTATTATCCTTATGGTCCTAAATAATGGTAGTCATCATTTCTTATAATACACAAGTTTATTTTCCTTTTAACAGTTTATTTATTAGAAGATTTCACCATATGTAGGTGAACTCCCTTAAAAGGTACACTTCCATCTGAGAAAGAAATTTAGAATGGGCTCAAATGCATTAGAGAATTGTGGAGGTGTTGGCTGTAAAAATCAAGGGGGACTGGTTACTATAGACAACACATAAGGGTGTATTTATAAACAATTTGCAGAGCCATTTGTGCTGTAAAATTACATGTACATTCATTCTGCGTGAATAGAGGCAAAGCAAATGTTATTAGCATATGTTCTTTTCTTGTCGAATGTGTTATCAGGAAAATACTGTGTTATGACCACTAGATAGAGCTGAGGAGCATAGGAAAAACATATTTATTTCTTGTGCTCCTCCGCTCCATCTAGTGGTCATAACACAGTATTTTCCTGAAAGAAAATATACGGTACTAATAACATCCGTTTCCTCCTGTATTTGCACAGAACGAATGCACATGTAATGTCGCAGGACAAATGGCTCTGAAAAAAGTACACCTCTTATTCTTTATTTAGCTAGGAGGCCCATGGCATATGTGATGATGGAATAAAGGAAAACATTAGACATAAAACAAGTTTATATCACTTGTGTATTATAATACATTCTGAGTGCATTTTAAAGGTGACAGAAATACAACTAACATTTTAAGCCCAGTTCTGTCCTTTCTACCATCTGATAATGAATTGTGCTCCAGACCATTCATAATTCCATGTGATAAAAAAATTTCATTCTGACAGGCAGAATTGATAAATCAAGTATATTTGTACTAGTGACGTCAACGTCATCATAACACCACCATTTGCACAGCTATAATGGGATGTCTGGAACTGTGTAACGTAATTTCCTCCTGTTTTCGGGCCCTACATGTCCCATGAGTCCTAGCCTTTATTTTGTTGTCCTCAGTTAAAAACGTGGGTGGAGTTATGGACAAAGGGGTGTTTTGCTTTTCCGTGGTTTGTAAAGCAAAAAATAGCAGCATATCGCTCCCAATGGACTACAAAACAAACAGCATGGAAGGTAACACCCTCCTATTATCTGCAATTTGCCTTGCATCCAGTGCAACTTGCAAACAACCCCCTCCATTATGTTGTGTTCTGAGCAGTATCTCACTTAGTAGGCCAGAAGAGGTGCCAAATGGGAGGTGGGCCGGGGAACAGGGTGGGCGGTCTTAAAAGAGTGAGATTGTAATAATCCTGCCCTCAACTCAATTCACCCGATAGAATCACAAAAGAACAACAGCACTGAGAACTACACAGGGGCATTGAGAGGACCTGTCTCCGTGCAAATAACAACCAGGCAAATGCAGCCAGTTCTTGGGACAGGAAATTATGATGTTAGGAAACTGACTTGGAGATAGGATATTACTGCATGGGTCACAATTATAGTTTTTGCAGAATGCACATAGGAATAAGGAACATTATTGTCAATACACTGCTAGATTTTCAATTTTGAATATAGTCGGGCTTTAACAGACGTGATGGCTCTTCTTTCACACAAACATCCTTTTTCAGTAAAGGGTTCTTCTTCTTGGTAATATTGTTGTGTCTATTCTTTGGTACTCATGATCATACCTGCCAACTGTCCCTCTTTTGGAACCAAATCTCTTTGTCCCTCTTTTATCCTCAGTCGTCCCTCTTTTTGGTCTGATGTACAGATATCTATGAACATTTACTATTTCACTACCAAAAGTGTTATGCTGCACTAAAGCCTTTATCTCATCTCTTAATGATCTTGTTTGCTATTTGAAATGCCAATATAAAGGAAAAGTAATGGTAAAAAAGAATCACTTCTGGGTTTAACCAACTATTTCGGCATATAAATTCTTAATGGTCCACATAAGTGGAGGTGTGGATGGAGTGTGTCCACTGTCTCAATATATTGTGCTGGAAGGTGTTCCTCTTTCTCATATTAGAAAGTTGGGAGGTATGAATAACAACCAATCACAATTCCTCCTGCTAAATCAGATTAATATAAAATGGATTCTGGTTGGTCCCTATGGATTACCGTTTTTAATATAGAATCAATTGCAATGGCAAAAAAGATTAACTAAACCATGTGTGGAAAGCTGAAAGCTTAGTCTGGTCATGGGTACCTTCGCTTGCATTACACTTTCCAAAGTCGCTATGCAGATAGAGAATTTATTTTGCTCTCTATTAACAAAGCTAAGGCACAGACTATTTGCAATAAATTGCAGAAATGGAAAGGAAAAGCTGTTGGCTATTCTAGCCAATCAAATTTCAGAATTAACTATCTATTTTGCAGCAGCAGACAGATGATAGCCGGTTAGTTGCTATGGGCAACCACTGCACATAGTTTTTATTTACAGTACAATACATCAGACTATTTCAGGTGAACCCAAGGCTGGGTTCAGGTGTAGGCACAGAGCTCACTATATCCTTTGTAAGCCGGGGTGCTGCACAGCACCCCCCAGCAGCACCCCGGTGCAGCACCCCGGCTTACACTTGATCACGTTGATAGATATTGCTGCAGCTGGTTAATTTCTGTAAATATATCCTAGCGCAACTACCCTGGTTACACTATATCCTTTGCTTCTTAAAGATATACAGAAAAAAAAAAGCAAAAAGGACTGCGCGGAGAACCTTGCTCATTACGGATCTACGTTATAGCCACCTCACCCTGCAGATCTCCTCAGAAGTGCACTCAGAATGTTTAATGAATTTAATTTATGTTCACATTATCCAGCTTCTGCCACTTCCTGCATCATGCATATTCTGCACACACACCAACCTAGGAACACATGCAGATGCAGCCTGAGTTATTGAGCCATAACTTTAACAGAGAGCTTAGAAATGATGACGGAGAGCAAACCTGTAATAGGAGATATAATCATCCCACCATTGCTGACATTCTTTTGAAAATGCTAGTTACCTGGCTATCTCTGGCATTATTACTGCCTAAGCAAAGAACAAGTGACGTCAGAAAAGCTGATCTGCGTACTTTTCTGCCAGGAAATCAGCATTGTCTAAATAAAATATCGGCAATATTGCAGTACATACTGTATATCTCTCAGTAAAGGATTCCTTCAACTTTACCCTGATTTTAAAGTGTAGCTAAACCCAAGTGCAAAAATAATTATATTGAAGCACACCACCCTTTAGATGTCTTGAGATTGTTCCCTTTACTTTAACTTTAGTGATCCTGATATACTTAAACTTTAACAGAGTTATTCACAAAAGAGTGAAGAGTTTGGAGAAGGCAGGAGAAGTGAACAATCTAGGACAACATAGCCGATTTGGAAAGATTCTCCAATTCAGCTCACTTTCCAGATCCAAAGTCTTCACCCTTTTGTGAATAACCCTGTATGTGATCCTGCCAGTAACACACTTCTTATTGGATCAAATAACGGGGGTGCCACCAAATATAGAAGAGTCCAAAATGTTTTATTGGTGGAGATGAAAGAACATCAAAGAGCCAATGTGATTCAGGGATTAACATAATCTCACTTCTTCACGACTTGAGGTGTAATCAAGAGGGGAATCCCTTGGGGAATAAGACTGGACTCAGGGTTATTGAAGTGATGGTGATCACAGGCAGGGTGAATTTAAAACGAAACTAAACTAAACAAATTTTTTGGCAGTGCACATGTCTAGGGTTAAGCAAATGAAGCAGCTAACCCTGATGCTCTAGCTAGCTCTTTGATGCTCTTTTATCGCTAACAATAAAACATTTTGGACTCTTCTATGTTTGGTGGTGCCCCCGTTCTTTGCTCCAATAGACTTCTCCAAGGCCCCTCCAACAGCTTGGGGTCCCTTCGGGTGGGAGTGCAGCCACAACTAAGCACTCAAGCTCCCTGAAAGAAACTCCTAGTAAAATTATTGGACACTCACGGTCAAAGATCCCAGCGCCTCCCATCCTTTTTATGCTACTAATAACACACTACACTGTCCTAGGGTGAAGCAGCGTTGTCCCCCTAGGACAGGTAATGTGTTGGCACTACAGAACATCTCCTCCTCCCATCATCTTCAAAACATAAGGGAGAAGTGAACTGTAGTCTATTGACTGAGCTGGGAGGACTGATATTATAGTTTAAGATTTCAGCACAGACAGGGAGTTACTAGTTCACTAGATTCCTGGCAAGGTCCACAATGTTTTCAATGGTATATTTAACAGACTAAAAGAGAGAAAATTAAAGGAGACCATTGTTAGGGTTTACATACCCTTTAGGGGTTTTCCTTTTGAATGAAAAGCTAATTATCCTCCACAATGCGTGAATGCCTCATCATTGCACTTTAGACATACTCCCCTTCCTGGGGTATTTGGATATAGTCTACTTTCTTTAAGAGAAACTTCAAAAATTATACCTCTACTACTGTATATCACTGAAAGTTAAATGGGAAACAAGAGATGTCCTGTATATTTTTTTGATCATGTAACTAACTTTTGAAATGATAAAGTGTTTTTTGCTGATGAGGACTTGGGTATTGTTCTACGCTGTATGGCATATTTATAGCATTTTACTTATACTGTACAGCATCTTCAAGATGGAAAATGTCATGATAAAGTAAATACTATTTTTTGAATTGTCGCATAGCCAATTACTAGTCAGGCATAGTCTGCATGTGTGCACAGGTTAAATAACATGTCATACATACAAATAGACAGTCAATGCATGTAATAAAGCAGATTAACAGAAGCCTAGGGAAATGAAAAGGGAGCCCTATAGCAATGTTTTAAAATATAACTGCAATTACATGAATCACATGGGAGTTTAGAGAAGAGCTATGGTCCTGTCTGATAACTGGGAGGAAGGGGTGGGAGTGGGTAAGCTGGGGTAGGCATAAAGGGTTAAAAAAACTTACCCTGGGACTACTAATCGGGCTGGTGGAAAGTCCTGAAGAAGCACCACTGATAGATCGCGACCTGGAAGAACACATACAAGTTTTAGCAATACCGACTTAACTGCATTTATATTGTGTACAATTTAAATTCCACCTCTGGTGTCTGTACTTACAGATTATGGGAGCTGCCACTGATTACACCTCATTCTAAACATGCTTTTTGCCTGGCTGTCATGCTGATTCGAAAACAGCAATGGCAGCCTTAAAGGTTTCCTCTAAGTCAGGGGTGTCAAACTCAATTTAATCGTGGGCTTCATCAACATTATGGTTGCCCTCAAAGGTATCTGTAAGACTATATAAATGTATCTAATCTTTATCATAATTGTTTCTGCATTCGATTATCACTGGTTTTAGTAATAACCTAGATCTGTAAGTAGAAGTCTAGGAAATGGCCTGGTAGGCCGGATTCAGCCCCTGGGCCTTGAGTTTGGCACGTGCCCTAAGTTCTGTTCATTATGATAAGCAGAGTTGGGAGTAGGGTGTGCCGAGGTTCTTAGAGGTTGATGAGAAGAGACAGGGGCTACAGTGAAATAGGGGGAGCAGCAAGGTGAAATTTCATACGCTTGTTCTCTCTTTGCAGATCCTTCTCTTCCCAGTAGCACCTCAAGAGAACATCATTTACCACTGTGTCTACTAGAAAGGTAATTGGTTCTTTTCAGCTAGATATAAACTCTGATCTGAAAGCCTCATAGCCTCATCCTTTGTTTTAGTTTTTTAATATAGTGGGGAAGGGTTAGAATTAATTCACATAAGTAAACACTGAGGCTTTCTTCCTCTAAGACATTCATACATGGAGCCTTTACAGATGGTGGGCAAGCAGTGCTACTGTAAGAGCTGCATGTCCAGACTGTTAGGGAGCACAAAGGATGCTTCTGAGCGGGTGAGTAGGACTTCATATTGTGCCTCATTTACGCTTGAACCTCAATAATGCCAGTCCTACCACTGAATAAAAGAATAGCATAAATGTCACCAGCACACCAGAAAGATTCAGCAAAAGTTCATTCAATGACCAATTGCTATCCGATTAGTGGCAATTGGCCATTGAATGGACTTTTGCTGAATCTTTCTGGTGTGCTGGTGACATTTATGCTATTCCTATGTTCATTCACGGTGACACCCGTGGTCGCTACGAGCACCCACCTGTACATTCAGGATATTTATTGTTCCGGTAAGGAGTGCAGCAAGATGCCTACTTCTTTCTACCACTGAATAAAACATATATACTATACTGAAAATATAATTAATAGTTTTGACAGTACCACTTAATAACACATACTGTATATCTCAGGTACTATTTCTTAGTTAGCTGGGGTTTATATAGCTACAGTTAGACCCAGTACCAGACAAAGTCACAAAAGGGCTTCTGCGTAAGACCAATTTCTGGGCTCCCCATTCAACTACTAGACAAATAAAAATACTTATGTGCTGTGTGTCGATTGTCAGCTAGATAAACATGAGTCATGATCGGTCTACATGACAATAGAATAATGTCCTGCACCTAACTGTCAGACATTTCTAATAATTGAGCTCCTAAGTCCAAGAGGGCTGTTATGGAGCCTCACAGCATATGCAAATAACATGTTTGCCCGTGGCTAGACACATAACTCAACACCAGACGTTTGGATTGGATGCACACCAGAGGTTTATGAAGTTCCTGCATATTTTTATACTTTGCAAACATATTGCGATGGAATCCATGGCCATTTGTGGCCCACACATCTGGACTGTTTGAGTCTAAAGTGTGAAAGGATACTAATACATCAACATACGCATGCTACAGATTTCAGGTTTCACACACGCAAACAGTTTCTGACCTCTGCCCATGCTGTGCCATCTCAATGGCCCTGCGTGCTGGTACTGGGGAGCCTCCATCTGTTCCACTCAGAACCTCCATAGATTTTCTCTCTGGCCTTCTCTTCCCATGGCGAGTCAACATGGGTGAGTCAACACGCTTCCTAGGAGGATCTAGAAGATAACAAGACAAGGAGTTAGACTGAACATACAAAGTGACTACTTGAAGTCTAGATTTGAAGTTGGAAGATTAGGAATATTACCAATATCTGCCCTCGGTGGGAGGTCCTCATCTTCTTGGCTGGGATACCTCTCTTTCCGATCCAGTAACAAGAAATAAATCATCTTCTCCTGATTTTCTCTGCTCATCAAGGAGAAAGTGTTTTAGAAAATCTTTTAGCTTCTAATGTTACAATAATTATATAATTAATATGATTCTGCTTCTTTACTCTTTATAAATCTGCTTATGTTCTTAAAGCTTGCATATAATTCCTCCTGTCTCTCATGATAAATCCACTGCTTGCTCAGTACAGCTTTCCCTGTATAGATTTTGCCCAGTGGTCCTCAAGCTCCCTCCTGTGATACATACTGCAGCTGTAAGTCTCTCTTCCCACCCCCAACATGTTAGTTTTATTGCCTTCTATCTGAGGTAGGCAACGTGAGACTTGCAAGTTGCTGCTAAATTAAAGTACTAGGATGCCAGACAATTCACCAGATCTACAAATCTGCAGTAAACACAAGGATCTTGACTCTTACTCTTCAGACAACAGGTCTTGCAGTAATTTGTTCCGGTCCCTAAAGCAGCCTAGGGAATGCATACTCTCCAGCACATCCGGGTCAACATCCTCTAACGATGGCAAGGACCCCATCTGTACCTTCCTGGGAGCTGCTTGCTCGGGTTCTGGCTCATTCTTTCCCCCTCTGAAAGGAAAAAAAAAGTTATTGTGACTTATTTAAATACAGCACACACAAATGCAATGTTCATTAACCCATACCAAGCAATCAGATATCAGCATTTTATTGACATGATCAATAAAACAAGCTTTCTGATTGGTTGAGATGGATTACAACAGTGGTTCTCAACCTGTGTAACCTAAGGACCCACATTTGTCCTTGGTCATTAAGTCATGACCCAAGTTGCACTGCACTGGATACGAATACGCACGGAGCCGCTCCTCACAGAAAAAACAATGCACTTCAATGTGCATTGTTCAGACTATTGTGGAGACGGTGCAGTACGAAACCGCACGGTCCCCAAAATAGTGCCAGCTCCATAATCCAGCGGATTCCACACGTTCGCGGCTATATAATGGCCGCAAACGAGCGGAATCCGTGCAGTTGTTTCACATATAGCGTTTGCGTCCCGTGCGGTCTTCCGCATGGAAAACCACGCAGGAAAAGCAAACGCTATATGTGAATGGAGCCTCAGAGCTTAGCAGATTGAGCCCATTATCTTTTATTAAAGAGCATTGGGTTGATGTATGTAAACTGGAACCAGGAAAACATTTTGTTGCAGCAGTTTTTATTTTTTTTAAATCCATTTATTGACCTGGTCTAGAAAATGAAACTTGGGATCAGTTTGGTTGCTAATGGCAACATCTGAAATATTATTTGCAAAGAAAAATAAGCCTTTGCGTGTCTCTGTACATCATGTGTGTACACATGTCTGTCATACGCGACCATCTGTCAATGTGTTACATGTACAAACTGAGCTGCCAACCATCTATCTGTCACTAAGCTTAATATACACACAGCAATCTGTCACTAACATTAATCTTCATTTAGGTGCATATTCCTATTTCCAGAAACATTTATCTGTCAGGGACATCCTCTTACCAGCGCATTTCCTAAAGGCATGCAGCTTTTGGTCAAGGCTCATCTACAGTGACACAGTACCATACCTCCCAACTTTCTGAGATGAGAAAGAGGGACATCTTCTTGCACAATCTTTATATGCCATATATGAAGATGGTCTCTGATTTGGTTCCAAATGAAGGACAGTCCCTCCAAATCAGGGACCGTTGGGAGCAGGACCTTCCCTATAATATGGCAGCCTGAGACGGTTGCCTCAGGCAGCATCTCTTAGGGTCACGTGAGAGGCCAGAGGGTCCCAGGTTGCCAGTTAGGGATATGTGTAAATGCCATACACATCTCCCTTTCTAGTTTTTAGCAACTCTAGCTAGTGTAACGCCCAGCTCCAGACAACCAGTGGGCCGGGGGCGGTGAGATAATTCACCCCAGTAGCGTGCACCACCAGCACCTCATCTGCCAACAATCCACCCCTCCCCACTGGAACTTGCACCACCAGCACTGGCAAAACTCCCCTCTTTGCCTCAGGTAACGAATATGCTGGATGCTAGGGACACCCCTGGTTGGAAGGTATGCAGTACTATTGGTCTCTCTGTGATATACCCGTCAGATAGGACAGATCAATTAGTAATCAAATCAGTTACTGTTTGTATACTTACATGTACCAGGAGTGCTTCTGTATGGTTTCTAACTGCAAGGGAAAAAGAGACACTTAATACACACTGTGGCAGAGTCCTGTGTTATACTAATCTATACATACAGTATATATCATATATATTTATACTCATCTAAATATAAAAATGAAAGGCAGAACTAGTCAAACTTTTAGGCCCCATGTAAATGAGGGCAGATAGTATGCTGTGTTCAGAGGTAGCTAAAGAAGGCACTCTGTGCTAGAAAACGAGCAAGTATTTTCAAAGATAATCTCCTTTTACAGTACATATTATTTTAAATATAGATGCACTGAAATGAAATTTTGAAACAGAAAATAAAAAAATAGTCAGGCTGAAACTTACCAGCCTGAAGTGAAAAGCCAAACAGTGTTTGGCTCACTTCACTTCAGATCAGTCATTCACTCAGCTGCCCTCGGCAGCTTCGTGAATGGACCCCTAAGAGTCCTTTTATGCATGAACAGGAAGCCTCTCTACTGATAGGGTTATTCAGAAAAGGGAGAAGAGTTTGGAGAAGGCAGGAGAAGTGAACAATCTAGGACAACATAGCTGATTTGGAAAAAGTCTCCAATTCAGCTCACTTTCCAGTTCAGTTATGTTGTCCTAGATTATTCACTTCTCCTGCCTTCTCCAAACTCTTCATCCTTTTGTGAATAGCCCCGTGAGTGTTTCTGTTCATTCATAACTTGTGGCGATAGTATGTTTACTAGGGATGCACAGATACTTTTCGAGTACCAGTGCAGATACTTGGCATTATCATGAGAACTACCAGGGTTGCAGCGGTTGCAGCTGGGACCTAGCTCTGGCGCTCCACCACTGTCCTGAAATCATTAGTCTGTATTGGTTTTGAAAAACTGTCACATGACAATAAACAAAAATGTATCAGTACTCATACTTGTAAGTACTCGGCAAGTACCAGTACTCGTACTCGCAAAACTGGTATCTGTGCATCCCTTTATTTATATTTATAAAAACAAAATCGTACATTAAAACAGAGATGTACAAATGCCAGGAGCTCCGTGTGCTCCCTACCAATGACAGCTGCCTCCTAACTTTTGAATTTGTCTCTAGTCTAGTGTTGGAGCTCAAAAGTATCGGTACATGTACTCATACTTGTACCGAGTACTGTACTTGGTATCTGTGCGACCCTAATGTTTACTATATCCACAATCATGAATGAACAGGAAGTGATGTAGAGCACTTCCTGTTCATTCATAACTAGGGACACAGTAAACATACTGGGGGAATTGATCAAAACTGGAGCAGACAGAATCTGGAGCAACTGCCCATAGTAACCGCCCATAGTCAGCTTCTCTCTTCAGTTTGTTAGGCTTAGCTTTGACAATGAAAAATAGAAGCTTCAGATTATGTCTGCTCCAGTTTTGATCAATTCCCCTCACTAAGTCCTCAATTATTTACAAGCAGTCAGCCATCAGCTGATGGCTGACTGCTTGTACATAGTCACACAGCACTGGGATGTATAGTCTTCACTCATTTGGTCGATTCTCCAGTCCTCCAGTATGGAGTAAAGTAAAAGCACCTCCAATAAAAGCACCAAAGTCTGTGCTGGGCAACATTTTAACAACATGCACATATTCTTTATTTCTCACCGTCAGTCTCTTCAAGGGATCCACCTCAATCATCCCGCAGAGGAGATTCTGACAATCCGGGGGAATAAAATGTGGCATATGGAAGACCCCTCGTTTGACCTTCTCCAGGAGCTGCCTCAAGTTGTCATCATCAAATGGCAAAGCGCCCTGCAGCAAGATATCAGTTAGCTTTCCATGATAGTAAATCAGAGTTATTAGCCTAAAGGAAGTATCAGTCTCACCACAAGCAAAGCGAATAATATGACACCGCAACTCCAGATGTCAGCCTTTCTGCCGTCATATTTCTCACCCTGTACAGGATGCAAAGGGTTAATAATGTTCTTTCCTAGCAGAGCACAGTTGTGTATTATAGACAAAGACAGTATGGAGTACTTACCCTGATAACTTCCGGACAGGCATAATGGGGAGACCTACAGAAAGTGTGAAGAGAAAAATGAGAGACCATAAAAGAGATAGTACAGGTCCTAAGGCTGGGTTCACACCTAGGCGTATCGAATATGCGCGTTTGTCGCTCGTTTCGTGACGCGCGTTTCCAAGGGCTACTTGGCTGTATTCCCAAGGAAACGCGCGACAAAAACGCCCCAAAGAAGCTCCTGTACTTCTTTGGGCGTAGGGCATTTTGTAGCGCGTTCATACGGCCTGTAATACGCCCAGGTGTGAACCATACCCATAAGAAATAATGGGATCTCGGTGTTTGAGCGCTTTATAGAGCGTTCGAACGCTCTACAAAACGCCCAGGTGTGAACCAGGCCTTAATGAAATCATTCTCCAAGCATTACTAATGTTTAACCTTAGTGTTTACACGTCTCTCTAGCACTATCAGTTACCTACGTACGCTTGGAGAGACAGGAGAGGCTGACATTGTAGTCAGTGGAGAGAGGTGCTACACAGACAGCAGCAGTAAACTGATAGAAAAATCTGATTTCTTGTAACCTGTTCATTTTGAATTTATCTCTATTCACAGAATTTCCCTGATTAAACCTGTTCTAACGCAGGGCATCTTTATACAGCTGCATCCTCTAATGCGTGTTGCCGCTTTGTGATGCCTTCATTGCGTCGCGCTCTGTGATTGGCTGGAGATGAACTTTTTCATCTCACGACGCTGCGCTACACACGCTGTCGCCGAGCAGAGTGGGGGATCTGAACTCACTAGACACACTGCAGGCGAAGGACCGCGAGTCGCCGCGCTTGTGCGCCGCGCTGCTTCGCCTGCAGTGTGTCACGGCCTTAAACCTCTCGTCAATGGAAAGTCGCACACGTTCCTTGGGCGGACCGGTATCGGTCCGCGGCCCGGGGGTTGGGGACCACTGTTCTAAAGTATCTTAATTCTTGTAGTACAGCCCCAGTCTCTGCTCTTTGTCTCTAGTAAATTTGGGCCTAGACTTGCTATTCAGAATTATCCCGCTGCTGTTCAATTTTACAGCGCTGTATAATTTGCAGTCTCATAATTCTTGTAGTATGTATGCTTTGTCTTTAGTACATTTTGGGAAATATTCCCTCATTAAAAATGTCCTGCTGTTGGTCAATTTTTTAAAGCCTTGGTTCTCAACTGGTGGGTCGTGACCCAAAAGTGGGTCGCGACCATGTATTTAGCGGGTCACTGCGTTCCTTCCACTTTTCTCAGCCTCCCCAGTTCTTTCCGCTTTTCCCAGCCTCCTGACAGCACTGTCAGTTATCGCGCCAAGCAGCCATTCATATGCTGCTCAGCAACGAGTCTCAACTTGAGGTGGACTGGAGGTATGGACGCGACGGAGCTCCATCCATACATGCATTGCTTACAGCTTCCTCGCATGTCCTGTAGAGGTGCCTGGACCCGGAGTGACGTCACGTTCTGGCCCCCGGAATCTTTACAGGGCGAGCAAGGGAGCTGTACCAGCAATGCACATATGGATGAATTTTTTTTGGAGTGTGTGTGAGATTGTGTCTGTGGTTGTGTGTGTCTGTCAGTGTTTTTGATGGCCTGGTCACACTAGTACAGTGCGTTAATCGAACAGCCCTGTGTGATTAACGCACTGTACCATGCAATCGCACCTACTATGCATTCTGGTGTGGGAGGTGCGTTGTGTTACCATTCCTTTGAATGGCACCCCAAACACACCTCCCACCCACAGTTCAATCACCCACACCTCAACACTGTGTGTTCCATTGAAATGCAGCTTGGGTCGCAACTTAATGACCAAAGACAAATGTGGGTCCTGAGGTTACACAGGTTGAGAACCACTGCTCTAAAGTATCTTAATTCTTGTAGTACAACCCCAGTTGTACTAGTAAATTTGTCTCCAGTCTTTGTCTCTATTAAATTTGGGCCTAGACTTGCTATTCAAAATTATACCACTGCTGTTCAATTTTACACCGCTGTGTAATTTGCAGTCTCTTAATTTTTGTAGTATGTATGCTTTGTCTTTAGTACATTTGGGGAAATTCTCCCTCATTAAAAGTGCCCTGCTGTTGTCCAATTTTCCACTGCTGTTTCATCTGAGGTCTCTTGAATCTTAATTAGAGTTTGATGAAAATTGTTCCGCAGCCGGACAGTTTTACATCAGTGAGAACAGGGACAGCCACAGCGAACTACTGGCCAATTTCTATCAATCAAATCAAGCCTGTTATAGCTTGATGAAATAGCATGCATCGCTGCTAAAACTACCTGAAAAAGGTGTAAACTGTAAAAGGATAAATTAATTTTCACAGCCCAATAAGCCCTGACAGTGATGGATTTACGTTCTTTAATGAAAAGACCCTGTCTCTGCAGTTTTTTTTATTGTTTTGCATTGGTATATGCCCTCCATAGCAGTGCCCATTTTCCCATGCCTTTCTTTTAACAACTGTCTATTATCCTCCAAAAAGGCCAGAATCTACTAACAGGATTCACCCCCCAGAGACTTTAATAGGATTTACCACTTAAGCTGGCCATACACCTATAGATTTTCTATGGTCACATGGAAAAAGTGCAACAGATTCCTCCATCTACGCTAAGCTGTGTGGATTGAGGAATCTCCCACTGGGCCAAGCTTCAGTATCTTGCTGGTCGGCGCCGCTGGCTCTCAAAATACCTGAACAATCTGATTGGATGCAGGCATTGTTCAGGTGCTTTGTGAGCCAGCAGGGCCGACTAGCAAGATACTGATGGTGGTGCTCGCAGTGATACTCACGGATGGCGCTGTGCACAACAACAGTGAAAAGCAGGAATCACCAGCACTCGGTAAATGGTGTTCAAATAATAAACTTCCATTTATTGGACAAGTTGTCACAAACGACTGTGACAACTTGTCCAATAAATGGACGTTTATTATTTGAACACCATTTACCGAGTGCTGGTGATTCCTGCTTTTCACTTTTTCTGTGTTGCTCACATCATTTAATCAGCCTTTTTTATATGACCCTATAGTCATTTTTTATATCACCCATTCAGGATATACCTGTGTACACACTGTCTTCAGAATGTCTGTTGAGCCTATGCATGGCTTACATACCCACAGCTGGTCTCCAACAGGCTGTCTCCGACCTGCAGAGAGGCCATTCCAAAATCTGCTATTCGGATGTTGTTCTTCTCATCCAGAAGTAGGTTCTCAGGTTTTAGATCTCTGTGACTGGTGAGCAAGGGAACATGATAGAAATTGTATGAACAACCAAAAACAAACACAGCTGGTAAGAAATGGTACACATTAATGTAAGTGTGACGCTATATACACTACAAGTGTAATTATCAGGCAGTCGGGCATCTCTCAGACCTGTGTTTTTGAAATATGCAGTAAAATGAGTTCCCGGCAGTGCGCGTTAACACACGACAGTCTGTGCACTGCCATTAATTTATAATGTCATTCCCTTTTAAGAGTACACACACAAATGTGCTAGATAATATTGATCTAATGTTTCTGATTATAGCAAATGCACAAGCATATTGTATATGACCATTGAACTACCTTGATGGACCAGTCCCAAATATTTCAGTTTTTTTTATAAATGTTGGGCAGCATTGCCTAAAAATCCGAGAATGGGAGCCAGAGATGGGAATTGTGACAAAGAGATCCCACTGATGAAGTATCAAACACATAAGGAAGTCTGGGACTGATTCAGGCCACCGACTGTGCCTATAACTAAAATACCACTTGAGGGTGGTATTAGAATGCAAAGAGACTGTAAGTCCAAGGAAAAGAATGACAAATTCTAACAGATTAACTTTTCCAGGGCGACCTAAATTGCACATTTCTTTAGACTATTATTTTATATTGATTGGTATTTTAGGGCAGCTTTACATGGCTCATTATTTGCAAGTATTGTAAGCATCTTAAAGTGAACCTGTGGCCAGGCGGTTCATATTAAATAATTAAATTGAAAGCAGAAAGTGAACCTTAAAACTAACCATTATTGTCCACTATAGCTGCAGTCACTGTGGAGCAAATCATCCTCAAAGTTCACCTCAAAGACACTGAAGTCAGCTTACAGCACTGGCTGTTTTATTACATTGGAGGTTTGGCAGGCTGCCAAGTCCCTACTACTGGAGGCAAGGGAAGATGAGCTCTGATTTCATTGACTCTGCGGTCAATGCTCATTTACTGTTTGTTAAGAATATGTAAATATGTAAATCTCCATAACCAGGCCGCAGGTTCACAATAAAGTGTAACTCCATTTAACAAAAAATCCACACCCCTCCTTGATGCCCCCTTGCACTATATACATACATACATACATATATATATATATATA